TACTACCCATTGATCGAGAAATTGAATCAGATTTATGCATAAAATCTTGATAATAATTCAAGTAGATTTTGATAGGGGATAGAAATCCAAAGAAAATTTAAATAAGACCACATTTACACGACATCTCAAAGGAGGATCACTAATAACCTATGTTACTAAAATTAATGCCTGTGTAAACACCATTTTCATTGAACGTTATCAATCCAGTTTGTTAAAGCCAAACTTTTATTGAGTAATGTGAACACCTACTTCAAGAGGTGTAATAATTTGGTGACATAAAACTCTCATTATGTGGCAGAAAGTTAATTTTCTGAAGCACGATATAGGCACGTATAAAACCTCACTGCCTACTTGATCTAACAAGAAAGAGACAAGTGATTAATGAAGTTAGACTTGAAAAAATTTAGGTTGATCAAATAATTTTTTATTCATTAAAGCCCTTGCTTGAAAACTACCAACTACCAAATATATAAGAGTTCAAACGCGTTTTAGATCATTGAAATGTAGGTTCACAATCAAAATGAAAATGTTTGGTTTAATTTAATGGAAAGCAGGTTAGAAAATCCTGAAGATGAGGCAAACTGTAAAATTTTTTAATATATGCAAGTTCAGTTTATACTTACGAAATACATAATGAATAAAAAAAGTAGATGATTCAGATGCCAATAGGTGGTTCCACTTATATCTCGCTTGCATTTACCCAATTATTTTTATCAAGTACTTTTCTTGGTTNGTTGATGATGAAACATATGGTTTCCCAATATTCCTGCCCAAACGTTAATTTTTTTCTGGATATTGGGTATATGTTTCCCGGAAAACGTGAGGGTTGTTACTCACCAACGGCAATTTTGTCTGTGATAATTTCATTATCCCAGATTTCAATTTTTTGAGGTGACCCGTTCAAAAAATAAAAGGGGGAAGACCTTAAAGAAATGCACTGTATATATATTTGCCTTGTCCCATTGCCCTCATTGAATCCGAGAATCCTGTGCTCTATGCAGACGTAATAAGCCAGAATGACAGTCTTCTGCATTTGTCCGGCCAATATTTCTGCCTTAGTGCGGCAAGCCAGCATGATATTGAGCTTCGAGAGTAGGGAGGGCATTATTCCTCCAAGTACTCCAATAATCAGAACAATCATCTTAATAGAGTTGCCTGAATATGACCTGCAGAGTTCAAAGAGAAAATCTCGATATTTCAACCGTTTTTTTTCCTTTTTTTGGACGATCTTCGTCTCACCCAGAGCTGATGACTCCGCAGATTACGAACCTGCGACTCTTAAGGCCAGAATAATTCGCGAAGCCATTGAAAGTGGAAAACGCCCTAACTGCCTCAACATACGAGATAATTCACAAAGATTATCTCATTCATGGAGATAACTACTGTCAGGCCTTACATCTCACAACATTGTATATCTCACTTCTGTTGCCGCTACCAAACCCACCCTCGCCTCCACTACCGGACTGCTCATCCACTCATCCAGGGACGAATACTATACGGAGACTGTGGGCCCACAGTCGACGCTTAGGAACAGGCAGATTGAAATCATTGAATTTTTGTTATGTTTGCTCTTTTTTGGCCTCAAATTCTTTTATATATTTCATGAACAATACGTATACGATCTTCCTTCTGAAAGAAATATCTTCCTATAGCACATTTTCGAGCCAAAAGCTAGGTATTGGTTATAGCATCTAGAACTGTATTTACATATACCACTTCTTCCCTCTCAACACAATAAGATAGTTGACGTGTTCATCAAGTTGATCCACTTTTCCCTTATTAAGTCGAGACCTAAGCAATTTTAGATATGGCTTGGTATTCCTTTCAATCCACAACATCCAGTATCATCCTAACCTTCATATGTTTTCGAAAAAATGTATTGGGTTATGAAATAGGTGAAATTGTATGACATTGCTAGCCAACAAAAAAGGAAGATGTAAAAGTTTGACGCAAACTTAATGTAAATAAATAGACACACGCTATTCCACTTATTTGGTCTAAAGTCAACCAGAGAGAATGGGTAGCAGGTTTAATAAACAAAGACGTCTTGCTGAGTTGGGGAATGAAAAAATTAAACAAAATTTACATTAAGTGACATACATATTGCCATTAAAAATAATGGCAGGGGAGCCCACGATGCAAAATGGGAATTTACTCGAGCGTCATTGAGACATATTAGGTTGCAAGGCTTAGATGATAAGAAGAAGAAAATGTTATATAATATATACCTTTTCATCGGTGGGGGAAGCGGCTATANTTTGGTGGAGGTACTTAACCGGGTACAAGGTATCCCCCTGTATATTAATCTGCCGCGCTTTAGTAAATCCCGAAATCCCCGCTTGGGCTCCCCTATCAATACATATAATCAATCTGGCTAGAAGAAAACAAATTCCTAAGTTTTTTCACATAGGGTTTGAATTCAACAGGCATGAGACTGTTACATAATAAAAATTTCTCTTGATAATGGTCACTTTTAATCATATGAGAAATGTATTCAGTAATCTGGATAAATTAATTTAATTGTTTACAATCAGTGATTCCATAATTAAATAAGTGAGGTACATATCAAGAAAGTGTATTAAGAAATAATAATATGAAATTTATTTCCAATTTTTAAAGTTGCAGGCGAGCTCACTTGCTATGTAACATTCTTTAAGTGAAATTCATTGTGTTAATAATATAACAAAAAAAAAATCTTTATGTGTAACTCTTTGGAGAAATTGTTTTTTGTGCATATGGTGATGAAATATTTGGGAATATGAGGAAGAAAGTGGAAGTGATTTGTTTGTCATACAGAGTAAGTTTTTTGCATTAGGAATCGTTTAAAGACTGTATTGTCAACAATAATTACACTATTTTTGATCATTTGTAAATGTTTTGTGTATTGTTTCCTCATTTTCTAAATGAAATATTAGAATATCAACTCCTATTAAAAAACTTTGAAATATATGATGATATTTCTCATGTTTTATACACATCCAAAATATGCATCAACAAAGTTTTCATATTTCAATTAGTAGCATAACTTCACCCAAATGTTTTATATAGTAACTGTTTTATTTTAGAAAACGATTTTAAACTGAATTAACATTCAATGCATAGCACTGGCATATATTTCTTGCAAAATAGAAAATAATAGTNACACTACCCTGGGGAACTCCAACGTAATTGTCAATTTCACAAGAGAACATGTCTTTAACTCTTACCCGTTGTTTTCTGTTGGTCAAGTAATTAGATAACCAATTATACACTTTGCCCTCAATTCCATATATATTCAATTTGGCTAGTAGTATAGACCTATCAATGGTCTCAAATGCTCTTTTGAGGTCAAGGAACACGACTACAACAAACTTATTATTATCCAGCTCAGATTTAAATTTGTTTAGAGATAGTTGCACTGATGACTCACACGAATGCAATTTGCGAAAACCCGATTGATTGTTGATTAAAATGTCGTTTTTTTCCACATATTCTATTAGTTGGTTATATACTGCTGTTTCAAGTACCTTCTCAATCGGAGGTAAAGTGTTGATTGGCCTGAATTCTTTACATTTAATAGTATGAGGAATTTTGGGTATAGGAACAATAGTACTACTTTTCAATCTTTCTGGTATTTCGCCAGTTTCAAGAGAGGTGTTGATAAGGTGCAATATAACGTGACCGATAGTCTCAAAAACTTGTTTCAATATTTTGAAGTTGAGGATTTCATGTATACTGCACTTATTATCCAAGGAAATTATAATTTTACGTAGGTCATTTAACGAAAGCAATCTGAATTCTGAGAAAGTTTTGTATAAATTAAAGTTTTTATTGCACCATGACTCTGAATAGTCAATGCTCGCCACAATTTCATTTATGCTTTCAACAAAATAACTGTTGAAGTTATCTGATATTTCAATAACATCTTTTAGTAATATAAGTTCACCAGTTTTCTCAAACTGAATACAATTTGGAAAGTCAATGTCATCTCCTTTAACTAGTTTTTTGAGAGTTTTCCACATTTGTTTAGAGTTGTTTCTATACCGATCAATTTTTTCAAAATAATATTGATCTTTTTTTCTTTTCAACACATTGACAACATCATTTCTCAATTTCTTGAAAGTTTCCCAGTTATTTTCTTATTCTAGATTTGAACAGTTTCTGAAAGCTCTGTATGCCCTATCACGATTCTTAATTTTACAGTGAACTTCGTTATCAAACCATGGCAAATGACTGTTAATACTACAATTTTGTATTGGAGAAATATCATCAATAACTGCTTTGCAATTATTCAGTATTTCTTTATAAATAACTTCAACATCAGTAGAATTTAAAGACCATTTACATGATATTAAGTTAATTTTTATAAGGTCCAAATTATAAGGTCCAAATATCAGTTATGAAAGCAACTATTCATGTAGTATAAAATAATCAAAACCGTAGGATCTTCTCAATAAAAAAAAACATAATAAAAGAAATAACCGAAGACTCACATCTGTTGTTAAACTCAAACGTTAACTGTTTTACTGGAGTTTTATCCCATCACCAATATCTTCCAGAGGAAGATTAATCTTCCTCTTGTTCACTTGGTGATTGAAACATGTGTCGAGGTGTTAAAAATAACGGTTTGGTGTTGAGATAAAACTCCAGTAATATTCATTACTACACCAAGGGTTCCAAACATTGCATCACAAGTCAACTGTTTTATCGCGTAAATAAAACAAATTAGCTGTTTACTCTGTTAGACACGCCTGAGAACCTATTGTAAAGCGAAACAAGTCATACGAATGTTTAAACTTTTATATCTTTCAGTGAAGTGTCGAGCAATATATTTAATTATTGCCTTCATTTTAGGGATTAGACAATCCTGAAACGAACAGCTCTATCGCTTCTACCCCAGCCAAGCCCATTATCAACAACAATCATTTATCGAACTCAACCCCGAACAATTCCACCGAACACAGCCCAAGCCCCACTTCTGACACAGATTTGAGCGCCCTCCAATTGACGGAATACCGAAGAGCGCCTGAAGGTAAAGACGATGACGACTCCATTTTGGATCACGGCGACACCAAGGAGAAGACCTACTCTACCGACGTCAACGGTAAAGTGACGGTTCACGTAGTCGTAACCATAAACGGCAACGGCACCTTGGCCGATCTGAAGAAGCAGCGGATGCAGATCAGGAACAGTTCAAATGACGTTAACAGTATTACTTCTCCGGTGGGAAGCATCTCCGAAAATGATTCGAACGCGAGTCCCGTCACGGAAATAGTCAGGTTTACCGGGGATACGATGATAGAAAACATGGAATACTCGAAACCGAAAAGGTGTTGTATAATACAGTAGGTTGTGAAAATTGACTATTTTTCTAGGACGTTTTGTTTTTTATACATGATCCCATTTTTTAGATATATATTTTTATAGAATAGAAAGATACGTACTTAAATATTGAAAGAAAGCGGTAGTGACATTTTCAAATCGGAAATTATTGGCTATGTACTTTCCTTTGTGATATGATCATAACTATTTCTATATTTCTACCGGGTGGGGGTATGAATAGGATTAAAAACATCAATAATCACATTATAAAAAGCAACATGTCAATTTATGTGGCAGTGATATTGGATGAATGCTGATGTTCCTAAAAAGTTTATTCCAGTTCAAAAAAAATTATAGCATACGTTTCAAATTATGTTGTTGTGAGAATTCTCAAGTTGTTTCCTTTTTTTTCTCACAGCAAACCATGTATTCTTGTTTATACTCTTCAGAACTGAAAAATGAAAACTTTGATGTATCATTAGAAAATCCAAGAGACAAAGTATTGAAAGAGATATTCTTTATTTTTAAATCATTGTCATGTTGGTGACATCTTGAATACTACAATAATTTTCAAGAGACAATTTGTTGAATATTCTCTGAGCCTAAAATACAATTTTGTATACCTTGAAAACCTTCAAAGAAAACAGTTCTGGTTTTGTTCATAATATTAATTGAAATTGAAGCAAAAGTGATTTTCTGGAAATTTATGAATTGAGGCAAATTTGTTTTCAGAAGCTAAACCTATCTTTTGGGATATTTACAAATAATTGATGTTCTGAGGAAACAACTAGTTAATTATATTTAGTAATCTCCGAAGCAATAAAATAAGCCTCAGTCCAATTCAGATCAGTATTGAAAGGAAATCCACCATTGACGACAGTACAAATTTGTTTACAAATTGCACTAGTGCAAAGTCCACAGCTGATATGCAAAATGAGATTGTGCAACTGCAAATGAATGAAAAAAACTATTGTAAAGTCTCAAATTTTTAAAGTCCAGAACTTTTCTAGGATACACTGTGTAATTATTATCTGACCATTGTGAAAAATTGTACCGTATGTTTCAAGATGATTTGTTTAATTTACTATCTATTTGGCAGGATTGTTAAGTCCCAAATTTCTTTCAGAAGAATATTTGTAGAGATTACCGCTGTATTCCATTGTAATCTATAAAACTTGTTGTGAATCTTTCTGGGAATCGCCACCTTCCACAGTTTGAAAGAAATGAAAATTGTACTAAGGAACTTCATCCGGGTGAAAAATGGCAAACTTCTAGTTTACCCCAATAACGTTGTGTAAATTCAATTATTTGAAAGGAAAAGGTGCTATTTATCTAAAACTTATAACATTTTATGAACTTGTGTATATTGAAAAAAAAAACACAGATATTTGAACGTTTTGTAGGCCAAAATCTGCCTCCAGCTTCGTAACAGACAAAATCAACTATATCTTTCAATTTGTTCTTTCTTTCTCGACAGATGTCACAGGTGTTTTATGCCAAGAGAGTTTCTGAACGATATGTACTAGAAGTTTGCCTCTTTCACTTCTGAATAAAGTTCTCCATTGCAATTTTTTTTTAGATTGCTGAAAGTGATAATTACCAGAAATATCCACGAAAATTATCTGATTTCCCCAACAAAAATTGCTTTTGCTCAATACTTACAACTCTCTGATACAGGTAGTTTATCTTGGAAACATACTTTATATAAAATGATTCTTATAATCTTCCAAGAATTATTTTTTCCCCTGGCTGAAAACATTACATTTCTGAATTTCATTAGTTCGAACTTCCATTGTCTGATATGATATGAAATGGTTTGAAGTCCCCGAAAGAATCAATGAAATCAAAATGAATAGCTGAAAATTACAATTATATCAGGCAAAACAAGAACCTGAAATGAAATTACAATAAAATCACATAGAAGCAACAATTGAAAATTGAACAATAAAAAAGAAATAGAAATTGAAAGATTTCCAGCCAAGTTACTTCACGACGTTTCGATTTTTAGTATCCACAATCGTCTTTGGGTGATACTGAACTTTTTCCTCCGGGAGATGAATATTTATAGGTCATTCGAGTGCTTTCACATATCCCCTCTTCCCTCTCTCCGCTTCACTAGTTTAGCGGGAACTGACCGTTTGGCAGGAATTGGCCGTTTTCCGCTTAATTATGGGTTTCCATATGTTGCGTATTTCTACACTGGCTTGGCTAAATGCTTTGTTGGACAATATATATATGCGGCTTCTTTGAATTTGCTCCTAAACCACTGTTCCTCCCTGTGGATAATCTCAGCTTGAGACCACTTGATGTCCAACATGCTCTGCTATTCCTGATTTGCTGGTTTCTCCTTGCTGTATGTGTTTCTTGTGCTCGGCAATGCAGACTTTTAATGGCCTTTTACTTTCACCAATATAGAATGTTCCTTAAACTTGGCTTGAAATCTTTTATTTTTCTTTTATTGCTGTTCAATTTTCAATTGTTGTTTGTCTTTTATTCTATTGTAATTTCATTTCAGGTTTTGTTTTGCTTAATATAATGGTTATTTTCAGTTATTCATTTTAATTTTATTGATTATTTCAGCGATTTCAAATCATTTTATATCATGTTAGGCAAACAATGGAAGTCCGAACTAATGAAGTTCACCATGAAACATTGTCAACCACCTTTTAACAAACATTACATTTCTGTCTCTAATCGTTGAGTTCTTTGGTATATATCTTAGAAATCCACATAACTCATCATGATTTTTCTTTTCCACTTCATATACAGTAGAATTCTTATATAACGACTATCCGTTTATAGCGACGATAATGTTGACTTAAGTTTAGTATATGTTATGTTTATTTAGTTAATGAGAAAATATACTGGTTAGTGCGACTCCCGTTTAATAGGTACTACTAAGAGGTAGTATTCATAGAAACTATTGATAGGTACCACTAACAGATATTAATAGATACGCCAGAGGTTCCAGTGTGAAGTTTTTGCCACTTGTTGTAAGGTCATAAAGTTCGACAAAATGAATTCTGTGAAGCGAGTGTTTCGCAATTGAAGAAAAAATTGCAATATTAAACCGATTAGAAGCCGGTGAATCAAATGCAGCCCTCGCAAAGAAGTTTAGCGTATCCCATTCTACAATATCCACAATTAAAAAGAATAAAGATAAGATCGAGTCGCTGTTCAATGCCAATGTTTTGAAATGCAAACGGGTAAGAACAAGGACTTCTACTCATGAGCAGATGGATAAGGCATTGTTACAGTGCTTCAAGCTTCAGCGCGACCGTAGAATACCCCTTAATGGACCTTTTCTACAAGAGAAAGCAAATTTTATTGCTACAGTTAGACATGCAAAATTTCACATATTCCATGAGTTGGATAAACCGTTTCAAAGTGAGACACAACATCGTCTGTGGTAAGATTGCTGACGAGTCTATGTCAGTTCAACAAAGTGATGTACACTTTACTACCAGAAAATTAATCCGTTTTGTGCGTCATCCGGTTAGTACGATATAGTATACCCGGTCCCTTGAAGGTCGTTTTATTCGGATTCTACGGTAAATATTAAGTATTTTCAGCTAATATTCCCTATACCTCTAATAATCATTATATATTGAAATGCATTCTTCTCAAAATTATGACCTTGCATGAGATACCATAATTTTTGTGAGTAGAATCAAGGCATTTGAGAAAAAATCCGTTTTCTCTGTTCATATGATTGAACCTTTTCATACTTTATTACTTATTTGTTGATATAGTTCCCTAAAAGAAAAGTCAGATAATGTGGGATCTGGAAAATTTAGTGGACACTTACCAATTAGATATATGGTGGTTTCATATTCATTGTGAATTTCTTGCTTGAATAATGTAGCTTTATCTGAACAAACGTCTAGTGACTTTTTATACATTGCCGTGACTGATAATTTAGATCTAACCTAAGGATTACAATTTCTAAGTTGCAAACCTTTGATTGGGCAGCTTTTGCCTTTGCTTTTTTTTTAGGGGATGTTGATACCATCAACGGTATTGATAACTGAAACTGACAGAATGTTTTCTATGTAAGCTGCATTCGTTTTGACAACCCATCGAACAAGCAGGGGCATTCAGTGCACAGGCTGGGCTTTTAATGCCTTTGCTACCAATAAGTATAAAAAAATGGTTCAGTGTTCTTTTAGAGAACATCCTGAGTCAATCTAGACGTTAACTGAGTGTAACGAATATTAGTTGTTGATTTCTATCTCAGCTATTCTTATATATTAATATATACCGGTCGAGATAGTCTAAGAGGTGGTTGACAAATCTTAATGAAATTTTTTAATCTACGTTTCAATTTTGGAGGGTTGTCATTTTTAGGAATACAACAGCTATTCAACAACTTAGTTTTCAAATTATAAATTTCAAGACCAAATAAAAAATTAAAATGTCTGATTCTGCTGCTCTTCCATATGGGCATCATTTATCCCAAAATAAACATTTTTAAAAGAATTTTATGTTCAGCAAATGTAGAAAAATTCAGTAAATGAAAAAGTATATTTTTGTTTTCAAATCTCAATTCCATCTACAATCGGAAGTAACAAATGAGTTAACAATGAAACCAGAATTGGTACAATATATTACTGCAGGATTTGAAAAAGAGCTCTCTAGATGGTTAACAATGTCACATTAAACGTATTAGTTAGTATTAAGTGTTATCCCTTTCTATGGTAGCAAAATGAGATCCATCATAAATCATGACCTTGTTATAAGATCTCACAGGTTGTAGTTTTCTTGTTAGTGTTACTAACGCATTTGATAATTACTCCATTGTGATAAATTTCACGTCTCCCATATAATCAAGCATCAACACTACTGATCACATCACATTTTTCATTTTGTAGTTATCTATAAGTATTATCGATTATTTATTTTTTATGTTTGAGTATTTGTATAGTAAACACTACGGCAATAATTAACTTACTATTAGTTGTTAAAGCTCAATTAGAAGCAAAATGGTTCAAATTAAGTCTACTTATTTATATTGTTTGTTGTCGAGTGGGTATATAAGATTTTTTATAAAATTCGCCCACATGTATTATGATTTAGTTTCCTTAGTATAAGCTTTAATTTTGTTGTTGCATATATCAGTCATTTTATGATTATGGTATGGATCTAGATTTTATATTTTGTTAAGAGACTAATATCCGTTTATTACAGCTTCCACTCCACTTTATTAAAATCCTTCGGGTTTTTGTAATTGTTATATTGTGATATTTTTTAGATTTGTATAAATATTCAACTATTTCGTAATTTCACCATTTTAGTTTTCCCTTTTTTCTACATTCCAAAAATGTGATAAACTGTTTTCTCAGAGCTCCACTTAAATTTACTGCTGTCAAGGAGAGGAACCCTCTAATTTGCTTTCTGAAATTAAACAACAGTGGCAGTGGCTAAACTTGGCATGGAAAACCCATGCTTTGGCGAACTTTCTTGCCTTCTTGCACATCTAAAGTTGAACCCTTCAGCTTCTCTAGCCCTCAGAAGTATTTTGGACACTTCTGAGGATAGCTATAGGAGTGTAATAATTTACCTTCCTATTTTGTACCAAGAATATCTTGTAACTTTTTGAAAAATTTCAAATTCAGTTCCAGACCATTTTATTGATATTTCTCTTTTTTTTTTTAATTCAAATACTTCTTGCCAAAGAATGATTATTTACTTGCCACCATATTCAAAAATTCTTAATTGGCCAACAACCAAAATTTATTAAATAATTCTTCTGTACTTGGAGATAATATTCAATCGATTATTTTTATTCAATCATTATACCCGAACTTGTAATTTTCTTTAAATTACGTTACATTTATTTATTCGAAGTATGTTGAATTGTAATTTATATTTATTTTACACCACTTGCATTTGTCTTCTGTTTGGTTTCAAATAAAGTAAAAAAAAACCTAAATACTTGATTTGTACTTTTCAGAACTAGTTTTTATTGAACATCTTTTCAAAATCCTCTCATCCTTCTCTCTTGTTTTTCTCTCAACACCTTGAAATAGTTTTGAAGGCAGTACAATATATACTAGTTTTCATGGTACTAATGCTCAAACCCTAGAGATTTATTTTGAATGTGTTTTGTTGGAGGGAGGTCCTTCTAGATTCTAGACAATAAATCAAAAGTTTGTCTCTGAAGGGTTTGCATGTCATATTATCTCCCAATCAGTGAAATGTTCTATATAATTTTCTCATTTGTTAATTCACCATCCAAAAATGGTAAAAGTAGTGCAAAGTAACACAATTAGGTGCGAACATTTTCAAGAAATATTGAAAAACAGTATTTTTGATTTCTTTTTCTGGTCTCAAAAACAAAAAACTTACTTATAGTACTTTTGAAATTAATTATAAACACTATTCCTTGGTTGATTTCTAGTAAATATTGGAAGTTTGAATTGATTATGATTAATTATTGTGTCAGATAAGTGATAATTTGAATTTCAGAAGATGATTTACTATTGTATCCTCAGTTTCTTGATTTTTCATGAAATATGTTCCTATTTATGAAATTAGAATTATTATAATACCAGCGTCTTCGCAGAAAGTTACCTGATTTATGGTGAAAACTATTTGAACCATAAAATTAAAGTCGTCTATAAATGAATAAAACCAACTACAGTTGGTTTCATTGATTTATAGAATCTATTTTGCATGTTTGCATTACAAATAATATGACAAATATATTTTTAGCAAACCCCAAATAATTTTCTGATGGTAAATAATGAATGCAAATATAAAACCTGTTAACTGGATTTCAGAAAATATGTGAACAAGGTAATCATATCGAAGTGTACACGTTCTTCAATGCATCATGTTTGCTAGACGGAATATCAGAGTAACGCTGTGGAACATGAACACAATAAACCTTCAGAATCATTCAAACTCATAGTAAGTTACACATATTTAAAAACATACTCAGAACCTTATTACTAGAAAAATGCTATCATAGTTTCCAAAAATTTCAAGACAATTTTTAAATATCTTCAAAAAACTTAAATATTTCTGTTTTTTGGGATATATAATCTGAAAAATAAACAGGTAAATGAATAGAAAACTTGTTGAAGTGTAATAAACCAAAACTAAAAATTAACGCTGAAGAGTCCAGTTATTCATAAATTTTGCCTAGAAATTGAATAGTCAATGGAAAAATTAGATTTCTATAATAAGCTTTCTATATACATTTAGCTTCATTTTTCAGATTAAAAAGTAAGAAAGATTGACTCTCACCAAAAAATGTCTTTTAAATAATATCTTCAAATATGGTTACAAAAGGCTTTTATATGTAATATACTCGTATATATACGAGAAAATAAATGTTTCGAACTATTAATCTCTCTCAACTACCTGCACCGTATGTTCTGATAAATACCTGCCGGAAAACAACTACTTCTCCGGATAATACCAGGCTGGATAGTGAATTATATCTGATGAAAATTTATGCAAGATAAATTTCTCATAAGTAAAATATAAAAATGCCTTTTGTGTAAAAAGCGGAAGAGATAGGTATAGGAAACCCTAATATAGTTTTAAAGGAAATCTACTCCTGCATCAAATTATGCCACTAAATACGGGGTTTCCATTCAACTTTAAGAAGTTATTTTATTAAATGTGTGTCCAAATTTTGAGGCAATTTTTTTTCGCCACTCGGAATAATATTGCATTAAAAATTTCATGTGGTAATCAACTTCAACCTTTGAGCTAAGCAGTACATTTAATCACGAGCAGCTCGTTACACGTTACAGGGTGAAAAGAATTTTTTAATTATGGTGTGTATTTTTAAATTTCTCAAAATTTCTCAGAAACTGNACAATACATAGCACAACAAAATTTACACCGAATTATCTTTTGAACGGAATCGATAAATCCTTTTTCCCTTCGGAACTCAACGAAAATAACCTAGAAAATCTAGAAAAAAACAGAAAGATAGCATTTTTGAATGCAGAAAAAATTCATAATCAAAATAAAGTTTATTATGATAAAAATAAACGTAAAATAACATACGAAGTCGGTGATCTTGTTTATATTCAGAACGGAAATCGTTTAAATAGAAAAAAGCTGGATCCGATCAGGGTGGGTCCTTTTAAGATAAAACAAAAAATTTCTGATTTAATGTATGTTATTGACTCGGGATTTAAAACACCAGAGTCAAACATTTACCATGCAAGTAAAATAATTCCCTATTTCCAGACTCCTGTAACATATGCCGGGGGGGAGGGGGGATGTAAGTTTGTGACGGTGACCAAACTATAGATAGCGCGACAAGCCAGAGGTCGCCCGCACGACACTCATACCAAGCTCGAAGCGCGAGGCCGTCACCGTTCACCGTCAGTCGTAGCTGTCTGATATTGTAGTAAACACATTCTTTGATTCATGGTTGCTAATTGTTTTTAGAAAGTTGAACCAATAATTATAATAAACCCAAGCTGTACTCGTTGTTGATTCAGGTAAACCTATGTAAGAAAAGCTCAAGGTTGCCCCTTTCCTATCGTGCAGACATACGACTTATTTGTAGGTACTTGTGGCAGATACCCAACGGAAAAGACAACTAATCCAGCTAATGCGCGCAAGCGCATTTGAAATTTGGCAAGCGCGATTTTGTAGAAACATTACAATTCATGTCAGTGCATTATCTTTTACACCGTACTCGTAATGGTATATCCTCTTTATCATATTCGTCTGCCCGGATCTCAAATTAGAGTAATGTCTCCGAACCGGATATAGTGATGTCAGGGCAGACAATTCCGCTTTCTGCTTCGATAAGTTTGCTGGGATTGAAATGGACACCAAAATGTCTTGGAACACGTCGCTGGATTTGCAAAGGCTGCTTTTCAAAAGCTTGGAACGCTGTTCCGAACAAGAAAACTGTTCAAATCTCAGCAACTTTTGATGAATTATAAAACTCAAATAAAACCTCCTTTGGAGTATTCCTTTCATGTATGGAGCTCCACCCTAGGCATATCCTGAAACTGTGGGATTCCATCTAGCGGAAGTGTTCAAGGGACTTGGCACATTTGTGGTTGCTCATCGTTTTGAGGTTCAACTCATTGCACCTCGAACTTCACTATTCAAGAACTCTTTCATCTGGAGAACTACCTTTATGTAGAATGAACTTCCTGAGAACGTTTTTCTAAATGGATATAGTTTCCAGCGACTGAAATCCAATGTAAAACGCTACTTTCGCACAGGCACCTCTCTGAGGTCATCTTGAGAGTTTTTCTGAAGTGCTTGTGTACTGTCCTCAAAAAAAGTTCAAGTATTCAAATATTCTGACCCTTTGTCCTATACCTATGTCATCAATTAATTCCTGGAATCAATTTACCCAAACTACAAGAATTTTCAGATAGGTAACAATACGTTTTTCATAAAATATACCTGGTCATAATATTTTGAAGTTATATTACATCAGAAATTCTGTTTGTAAAGACATTCGAAACTAGAAGGACTATTAATTTTGAAGTGATCTGTTCTAGTAACAAACAAGATGGGTGAGTTGTTTTTTCTATCATTTCAAATGTCGTTTTGAAGTACTAGTATTTCAATAACACACAACAGTTATGAAAATTGTCAAAATAACTAAACCAAAAAGCTGGTTCTCAAATTATCCTTAAATACATTCAATGTCGGAAAAAAATTCGGCTCCTTTCTATAGGGAGATGAAATTTTAAGTGAGTACTGTTTGGAAATAACTATTATTATCACCTTTCAGGTAACAAAACTGAAGAAACTCTGGTTCAGTTGCTAGTTAAAGAACTAAGTTGTAAATCCTGCTCCGCTCAGATGTCCCCTCCGCTAATCCAATGTTTTTTTGGTCACCATGAATGCAGTAAGTGTATTGAGAAATCTATATGCGCTTCACCGAGAAACTCCAGTGGAAATATTTTTTTGGAAAGATTGTGTTTCAGAACAACGCTGAAATGTTCTTTCGCCAATAAAGGTTGCCTTTTCTTAGATAAGGCATTGGAGGTTGCAGCTCATGAAAAAATTTGCATCTTTGGTTCCAAACCATTTCTTTCAAATGGAAAATGTAATACTGTGGGAAGTGACGCATTTGAAAATATTGGTTATGTGAAAACTGTTGAAGAGGGTCTATCCGGACGAAGAGCAGATACTGGAAAAGGTGAGTTTTCTTTCTGAATTTTTGTTATTTGCCCTATCTGTTCACTCAACAATTATTTTCTGTATGAAAACGAAAATTTATTTCATGGCTTTTTACAGATTCGCCCGGAGAATTGTTGGAAGACATTTTTGCCTCTGCATTAGAATGTCCAATCTGCTTGACGCAAATTTTACCACCCATAGGAGCGTGCCATAACGGCCATCAGCTTTGTTCTGCATGTTTCTACCGAATAGAAGATTGTCCTGTGTGTCGTGGCACGAAAATGTTACAGACCAACACATTTTTAGAGCAAATTATCAAGAGACTAGATGTACGTTGCAAAAATGCTTCNAAGACGAAAACAATGACTATAGTAAGGAACTGAGAAAACTACAAAATGAATTGGGAGTTTTCCAATTGAATCAGGCCAATCATGGGCAAGAAGTAACAGAAAAAATTACACATGTAATGTACAAAGCCTTATAAAAAACTTGGATAATTTGCTGCACTGTATCTCGTTGCATAAACCTTTGTTAGTATGTTTATCAGAAAATCATATTACGGATGATATTGCTCTTCATGAAATTAACATAAATAGATGTGAGCTAGTACTTTGTAATTCATCCAGCAGACATACGGGAGGAGTTGCCATATATATCAAAAGTGGATTGAAATTTGAACTAATTTTGTAAGATATTATTTTTATGAATGTTTGGTTTGTGGCTATCAGGGTTGTTGTAAATAATACTGTATACATAATGTGTGTGGTGTACCATTCTCCCAGAGCATCACATGCAATCTAAATCTTAAGGGCACAGAGAACACTTACACCCGAAAAATCAAAGAACTGATTAAATTCATGGGACTGTACCAATTAGTTGATGATTATACCAGAATCACCAAGGATTCATCCACATTAATCGATTATTTCATAACAAATAACAAGTTGTTGAAATTTAAAGTATCTCATCTCCAAAGTGTTTCAGATCATTCTAATATTTTAATATCCTTAGGTAATGTCTTTCATACTAAATCAACTTCCACTATTATAAGTAGGAGAGGTTATAAATACTTTGATGAAATTGAATTCCAACTGTCCCTAATGAATATGTTATGGAATAATGATACTGACATTAATGAAATATCAAATTCATTCATCAATAATATTATTAGATGCTTGGACATACATGCACCATTCAAAAGGAAGCAGTGTGGTTTACAGACGAAATCATGGCAGATTTTAAAAAACGCGATTTTTTTCATAGAAAAGCAAACGAAACCAAACTACAATGTGATTGGGATAAATATAAAATAAGTCGTAATCTCGTTACCAAAAAGATACCAATGTGATTGGGATAAATATAAAATAAGTCGTAATCTCGTTACCAAAAACATACGAATTGAAACTAAAAAGTATTATGAATCAAAGATTGATGAAAATAAAGGAAACAGTAGGACTATGTGGAAAGCACTGAAAGGTTTAGTAAAGGGAAGTAGAAAACAAGAGTTCAAAGGTATACAATTTGATAGTGTTCTTGTAACAAATGAAGCAAAAGTAGTAGGATATTTTAATTCATTTTTCGTTGACAGTTTGAAAAATCTAACCGAAAGTATAGTACCAATAAATGATTATAATCATGTTCTCAGTTATATTATACCAACAAATGAGATACTTGGGGAATTTGAAACATTGAATATGTGCGAGTTAAAAAAGATAATTTTTTTCCCTCAAGAAAAATAATACAGATGACAATGAAATTAATCTGAATATAATCAAGTTGACATTTGAAATACTGGGAAATAGGTTTTTGGACTTGATAAATTTATCGTTAACCACTGGAACATTTCCTGATGGTTGGAAAATCGCCACCATCGTTCCTATTGAAAAAATTACAAACACCGTTTTAGGATCTGATTTTAGACCCATAAATACCCTGCCAATTTATGAGAAAATATTAGAAATCACAGTGAAAGAGCAATTGATGAAATTTATAGCGAANGCGATAATTAAGAGATTAGTCTCACAGATGTTTCTCATTCGAGAATCACTCTATGTTTCAGTGCATGCATATAATGACTATTATTATCTGGTGAAGTCATTAGGTGAAATACACCATCGGTTTGTGGAACTTTCTACGTACTATTGAAGAAGTAGAAATTCAAAAAACCTTTCATGAAGCACAGACAATATGTGTCAATTTCGAAAATGAGCAAGATGGATGATTCATTGATTAATTTCAGACAAAAAGTCACATCATTAGAGAAGACGCTGAGCTACATTGAAAGGAACTACTGAAATAGTGGCAATGTGTAAGACAGCATGTTGCAAGTTGAAAAATACCTTGTGAAAGTTTGGAAAATTAAAATAGACAAGATATAGGTCAACTATATTACGATGAATATGATTTTAAAGTTAAAGTAGGTTCAGTTTACTCAATTGGGTGCCTGAGTAAGAGAAGGGTCTATGCCATACAAGTTGTTTTTTTGGTTTTGATGGATTTGGATTGTGGATATAATACTAAATCCTTGGAAGTGTGCCATATCCCCATATTAATTTTCGAAATGAACAATGATTTATTTGAGTGTATATTTGATTTATTCTAATAGAACCTTCATTTTCTCAAAAAGCTGATTTTGTGGCACTCAATTGTAAAGCTGGCAGTGATGGCTTAAATTTTTGAATAACATGTTGAAAATTCTGAAACTCTCCCAGTATGTTTCGATATCTCATATACAAAAAAATCTACACCAAAAATTTATTTCTGCTTTGACCGTTTTACCAAAGTACAGACAAAACTCTTTTAAAAAAAGGACCAAAACAATTACTCGTAAATGGCCAAAACTACTGCTGATTTCAATTTTGGAAAAGATGAAGAGTTCCATTTCAGCTCTGCCTCCTAATGAGCAATTTCAATAAAGATTATTGCCTTTTTTCTTATTTTTCATTACAAGAAGATTTGTGTCTTAGTATGTATGTATACGTACTGTACTTTCAATTGATGTGTTAGTATTCAAAAAACGTTTTTAAAGACTATTTTGAATTTTATCCCTGTAATAAACATTCTCGTTTCTTGGGATTAATTAGGATCATTATTATTCACCAATTCTTGATTTTATTTTTGTTGAAACTCTCATATTCAGATTTGAAAAGTATTTCTTCACAACAAAAAGATGAGGAAAGTGTATAATGAATCACTGTACATATATATTTTAGGTTCACACATTAGATATGAAATAATAATACAGAAAAGTAAAAAAAAATTTATTACTAGCAGAGCAGCACATTTTTGGCTTTGAAGAGGTGATGAGAATATAATTTCTTTAAATTCCGAAGTAGCCCCACCCAAAATGTGTAATAATCTAACCCACCATTTTCGTGCTAAACAAAAACCCTATAAATATCAATTTCCCCTGAATTGCAGAAAAATCCCACTCTTTACCCTGAGATTAAAACTGAAAAATACTTCAATAATACTTTTTTATCAACAATACAAATTTCCGCCAGCGTTGTCTTTCAGCTGATCTCGAACAAAATCTGCAACTTTTTCTGGGAGGCCCAATTTCACAACATCGTCTTCAAAGTCTTCTTCTGTTCCGACACCCGCTACGTAGCCGTTCAGACGAGCAGCAACGTGGGATGTTTGTAATAATTCTGGGGTCAGTTCGAGCTCGTCGCAAATCCATTTGAACTTTTGCAATCGATATTTCTGATGGTAACTGGAAAAAAACGAAGAAATGCTCAAAATATAATTTATATATCACAATATTATATTGTTGTAAATCATGCCCTAAAGAAAATAACGCCGGCCGCCACTGGTAGCCATAAACCAATGGTGACGTAGGTAAAAGCGCGCGAATGTACAATGTTCACTGTCGCTCTAGATGTAGCAAGAATAATGCTATCGATTTCGGCGGAATTTCGGCAAAATTTTCTAGCGCATTCGATAAAATTCTTATTTTATTTTTATTTCATTTTATCTTATTTCATATAGATAAATAGAAAGGATGAAGAGTATGCGCTAAGTTATAATATACCAGGTGAAGGTTGAATTTCTTTCAAAATGTCTCATCTACAGTCGAACTGCCTTTCTGAAAATTATGAAGGTTCAAATTATAGCCAAATTTTTTGTGACGAGTTTTTATAAATTTTGGGTAGGTGCTTTTATGTGATTCCATAGTATTCCAAGTCATTTATTTTTCGTGAAAAAGGTACTTTGATTACAACCTCAAAAAGTATTAAGATTAACATATCCAATGTACATTTTTATGTTCCCAACACCATGAAAGTTTGGTAATTTTCATTTTTAAGGCGGAGCCTTTCAGTAAATTTTGAAGGTTGACAAAAATAAGTTTTGTTGACTATAATTTCCTGCATTATCGTACCCGTTCATTACAGAAAAATTTGTGCAAATTAAATTCCAGATACAACGTCGTAGACTTTGGTTCCCACGCGTTCTACTGTTAATTTTAAAAGTTCTATTATCCATAATTATTGTTATTCACTTGTCGAATATCCCGGAATTCGTCTACACTTTGTTAGGTCTCTCAATTATGTGATTTATTACAGTATAAGATTAAGAAGTGGTTGGGCCATTTTCAGAAATGACTTAATACAGAAAATTAAAAAAAATCCAACACAATCGCATCAACGTACTTCACGAAAATGTAATCAAAATTGACTAAAAATAAACAAGAAAAACCCTTATGATGCACTGTTTGGAACTTTTGGTGTAGTAATGAATATTACTGGAGTTTTTTCTCAACACCAAATCGTTATTTTCAACACCTCGACACGTGTTTCAATCACCAAGTGATCATCTTCAAAGAGGAAGATTAATCTTCCTCTTTGAAGGAAGATTAATCTTCTTTGAAACAAGTATCGAGGTATTAAAAATACCGATTTGGTGTTGGGAAAAAACTCCAGTAAGGAAGATTAATCTCTTTGAAGATGATCACTTGGTGATCGAAACACGTGTCGAGGTGTTAAAAATAACGATTTGGTGTTGGGAAAAAACTCCAGTAATGTTTTTTTAGAAAAACCCCATTATGGTGGCTATTGAATAAGCAATCAATGATATTTTTCTGATTGATTCTGCCGTTACTTGATGAAGATCCATAGTAATTTCAAAAACACACCTTACATAGAGCATGTTAATCACTATGAAAAATCTGCTGTGGTAACGAAACAGGTTGTAATATATTCGTTTGAAAATAAAGTTTGTGAAGGTCAAATCGTAAGGTGTAGTTTATGAAATAAATGATATGACTGGACTTCGCTCGATTTTCACTTGCACATGATTGAATAAACACCCGAATTATTGTGAGATATGAAAGTTGACAGTGTAATGAAAAAAGTTTGTGGTATTTGATGAATTTCAAGAATTTTCATTCAGATTGTATGTTGTTTTTTTAGATTGTATGTTGTTTCCATAATAATTCATCATCAATGTCGAAGATTTTTATACATATTAATCTCTACTCTAGAAGTTTTTATTGTCATAAAATATCTTTAAATCTCAAAGTTAACAAAGGCAATGAGGAGGCCGGTGTATTAGCCCTTGATGCTTTAGCCCTTGAAAGAGCATCCAAGTCCGTGACAGGTACAGAATTCTGCGAGCTGGTAAAGACAAGTATCAAAACATCTATCAATTCGTAGATGCAAGCGAAATCTCAAAACAGGTGGAATAAGCTTCCATGAATGAGGCAGGCGAAAACGTTCGTAAATCTCGCCTAAATTCATGAAAGACCTGCCAAACCATAACTGTAAGGTGGTAAAAGGGTTCATGAGCATTATGACAGAAGAGAATCTCAGAAAAAACCGCACTACACGTGTTCTGTGAAAGTGAAGATTTAGCAAGGCTAAAAAAAGAGAAATGTGGGATTGAGAAACTCAAAGCTACAAGCTATATAAAGGGAACAATATCAAGGCTATGCCATCTCATCAAAAAGGTCAACCCAGGTGAAGAGCTCTCATAACCAAGGAGCATCACAATAGATTTGCAAAGATCACTAGACCGCAGGCCAGTTCCCCTAACAATTTAATCTACTATAATCTTCAAATTTTGTCATGATTCATTGTAATTAGAAATAACCATAAAACTAAATTTCTTCACAGTAATAATGAATGAAGTTATATTGATTAAGCCGATTAGATATAACGTTGTGGAATTGGCCGCGGTGGTAGTGCGCCCGACTCACGATCGGAAGATCGTGGGTTCGATTCCAGCCTCGACCAGATTCTTTTCTCGAGAGAATTTATCTGGTCGAAGTTGAAATGACTCTGCAACCGTGTTAGGAATCACACGTTAAAAGGTAAGACCTCGTTAGTCTTTAGCTCGCACAAGTTCTCAACTTTTGAGAGTTGTCGTTCGTATGGGGGCGACAGCTGATTAACGGAAAAACAGAGGTATAGAGGTTAAGAAAACACTGAATATGTAATAATGATAAATTTTCAGTTAAATATTTTTTTCCACTGTAGCAATTATTTTTATACCTATCTGAAAGACAGTTTTCAAAGCATGCTAGAGGTAGCTAGAGGAATGGACCTATGGAAGATCAGTTAAACCCTGACAAGAGTCTGGCGATACTGTTCACCCGGAGGCGGCACTCCCAGAAGGAAACGTCACCTTCAATGGACAAGAGATTCCGTGGACCAATGAAACTAGATATCTGGAAGTCATCCTAGACAAAAGATTATCATTCAGGTTTCACGTACGGCAGAGAATAGGAATGGCGAGATCTGCCCGACAAAACCTATTGCCAATATTAGGTCGAAGAAGCAACATGGGACTGAAAGTGAAGCTGCTGATGATAAAGACCGTACTACTACCAATAATCCAGTATGCCTGCACTGCCTGGGGCAAGTGCGCAGCTACATACAGTAGACAGATCCAGTCGTTTATGAACGCGTGCGTAAGGACCGCCGTGAACGCTCCAAGATATGTACCGAATAGGTACATATTCCGAGATCTAGACCGGAACATACACTTCGTAGACGCTTATATGAGACAACACGCAGAAGACGCGTTCGACAGAATTCGAGCGCATGACAATCCATCGCTACGCGATCTACACAATGCACTAAACAGGGATGACCCCAGATTCCGAGAGAGGGATAAACATAGCAGAACCAACATCCAACTCCGAGAGTCGCTGTCAGGCAGCTCCGTTAAGTAAACATTTTTTTAACGGATAACAAATACTTCCTTTTCAGGTTCAACGAGAATCACTCGACCGAGATCTTTTTTTAAATAATAGTCTCCAGTTAGTTTTTGGGGACCCCATGTAAAAATTCAGTTAGGAAAGCCAAGATAAACCAAAACATTAAATTATAGTGTAAAAGCAGAAAGGCTGACTTTCGACGGAAGAAGGTCAGATGTCAATCTTGCTGAAGTGCCCATCAGTAAGTTGAGAACCGCTCCGGAAGAGCGAGGTAGATGGACACGATGGGATGTTCTGCACACAGTAACCGTGTAGGGAAGATTTCAACTCAAGGCACTCAATCCGGGAGGGGGCATGGGGGGGGCTAGGGGTAGCTTTCTGACGCCTATTTGTTACACACCTTCCTATGTCTGTTTCAAACCCATCCACATTAAAATAATGAGACTATTACATAGCAAGCCCTTTTTTAAATTTGAAGGTGACACTGTGTTTTATAAAGACAAAATACTAAGGCAATGTAAGTTACTTTTGTTATGCAAAATTAATGCGAAAATGATTGAACATATGGAGTCTATGAGTTAGCATGGGCTTATGAAGGTACCATCTACGAGATAGACAGGGACATCAATGATATATGAAGCTCCCAAAAGCAGTCCGTTACAAAGCCAACCTTTTGTATTTCTCTGCAGCTTGCACTACAAAGCAACTAGTTTAAATCAGAACCCAAAAACACTTATGATCCAATACCAGACAAAGTTGTTTCGCTTCATCCTAGGTCTCATCAGTGGTGCTATGTTGAACCAAGAATGTCTTGTTGGACTCAAATGTCTTCTAAGTATAAGGATAAATGTGAGTGAGCATTTCAAAACCACCATCTATAAAATCGATAGAAAACTCAAACAATCGAATATCAATTTCAATTATAAAACTTGAGTTTCCAAACAGACCTCCTTTGGGAGCCTCCGTTTATCGTTGATATTCGTAATTTAAGTCTTCTGAAGATACCTTCAGATAGGTACAGTTTTGTTCTCTAAGCCGAGTCCAACTATGCATTTGTGGAGACCATTTCATAGCTGGGTACTGAAATCTTACATGTAAACTGAAAAGTAATATGCACACTTACTCTTCAGCGGGGTAGAAGTGTCCAGCACGTGCAATCTCAGTTCTCAGAGGCTCATTTCTCTGCTTCTGTTCCTTTTTCAGTGATACTTCAGCAGCGATTTTCTGTTCTTCACAGTGATATAAAATCAGTGACATATACTGAAAAATAATAGTAAAATTAAAATATCGTCTACTAAATGCATGTGTATTCTATTTGAAGATGGTAAATATTTGTTGTCAGAATAAAAAATCACATGTAGACATGATAATATTATGTGACATGTTTCGCTTCTTCAGGCTTATTATGCAGTCTCCACGTATATCAACAAAGTACTACTATCATTTGTGACACTACCATATATTGACGAAACACCAGTTACTTTATGCTCTGGGGGAAAGTGAATCCGTTGTGGGCAATATAAAGTAAAGAATTAATTGAGACTTTTTACACCACTTCTTCCAAATAGTTACTCTGACCATAGGAAACGTTCATCAAAGCTAAGTTTGCCATGAATATATCAATCTACCGAAGCAATGGGTGTATTATATTTCCTCAAATCAAATTGAGCACCTAATAGTTCTTGTACTCTTATGTCAATCTCAGCTGCCAACTTTTTTTTTCTAGTTGACCTTTCATACAACCTGGTTACTAGGTTTTTGGTCGTTATTTCGAGGAGGTCATGCAGACACAAATTCGTTTAGCAAAAGATTTCAACAATAAATGCTTTGTTCATTTTGGAATCGGTTTGCCTCATTTACAAAAATATGTCCCTATTTGAGGCTTCATGCCATTCTTATAGCACCCATTCCACCGCGTTGAAATTGCCAATTCCTTCAACAAACTTGTTCAGGAATTATATTTGTTACAATGGACATCCACAATATATCATATTCTTCACAGTTAATAAAATAATTATATATCAGACATACACGTATCAAACCCACAATATTCAGGAATTCTTCGCAACTGTAGCAACATTTGTCTAGTAAGAGATTTTTTACTACAGTTGCAAATAATTTCTGAATTCTTTCATTTGGCTATTTTTCTGTTGATGATTTCTGTTGAAAAAAATCTGTTTGAAATCTGTTTTTTCGTTAACCAGCTATAGCACCCCTACGAACGACAACCCTCAAAAGTCGAAACTTGTGGCGAACTAAGGATTAACGAGGTCTTACCTTTTAACGTGTGATTTCTAACACGAGTTGGACGATAGCAAGGGAAAATCGATCGTTTAGACTAGGGCTTGAACCACCGACCAACACGGCAGTCAATTCGAGTGAGTGAACAAAGCACCCTCATCGAAGTGCCTGACTATGAAGTCTTTACTATGATCTCTTGTAATTTGAAACCTAAATTCGTGGAGTCGTCGCGTCGTTCGAATGGGTCGGAGATTTATTTGAATGAGAGATCTGATCGGTAACTTCTTAAAGAAATAAATAATGAATTGAAGGGGTTATATTTTTAGAAGTGATTAATTTTTGGGAAAGAAAGTTTTTGGCTTTCTACTACTCCCTTCAATTCAAATAAGATTCCCCTTGGCTGGGATTAAATCAAATAGGTGAGTAACATGTGTTTCGATATACAATAGCATCCTCAGGAGTGTTCTTACTGACCAACCGTCAAACACTTGACTGGGTATAGCAAAGGCAAGGTGTCACAAAAAAATGTTACTTGATTAAAAAGTTATATATAACCCGATTTTGAGAATTCAAATTTCAAATGTGTCCCTTGATGTTTAAATGTGCTAAGTTGGGTGACTGGCATTTATAATGACAGTGCTAATCGAGTAACATTTTTCTACTGTTATTGCACAAAAAATTATTCCTACTGGCAAATAATTGAATCAATTGAAATTCTGCTGCGCAAACTCCAACACTATGGTTTCAGAAATCAGAGCCTTAACTGGATGAAATCATATCCGAGTCAACGAACCCAAGTTATGAGAACTGACACGCTGCCAGATATTGTCTTTGTCAGACACGGAGTACCTCAATGCTCGGTACTGGGACCAGTATTGTTTTTGATGTATTTTAATGATCTAGCTTATATTGATTCTGAGGGAATGTTCACAATTTTTGCAGATGATACAAAAATCCTGTGGTATGACATTAATGAAAATAATCTTCAAAACAAAATAGCACAAGATATTGTTAAAGTGAGATAGTGGTGGAACTTCAATCTTCTATTCTCCAATATAGAAAAAACCAATCTTATATCATTTAATTGAAAACTAAATACATTTCTTGGAATCAACCTGGACAGCAACCTCAATTTCAATTATTAATTTACTGAGCAAAAAAAATTGCTTCAGGATGTTATGCTTTACGAACGGTGTCGAATGAATTGGTTATTGTAATCGCAAAAATTGTGTACCACGCTATGGTTGAATCGCATCTAAGGTATGGCATGTCATTCTGGGTCACATACAACCAACACCACTTCAACACAGTCTTCATTCTTCAAAAGCGTGCCATCAGATATCTGTGCAAAGTTGGGCCTAGAGTGTCTTGTAGACCCTTGTTCAAGGAACAAAAATTACTAACACTTTCTTCTTTATTCATACTCTAAAATGTGTGCCTAGTACATAAGAACAAATTATCTTACGATGTTGTTGTTGGTTTCACTCGCCAAAACGACAAATCAAGACTACCTATTCCATCATCAAATTTGATTTAAAACTTATTGACCTATAATGCAGCTAAAATATATAACCATCTACCGACAAGTTTCAAAGATATCCAATCACCTTATCAGTTCAGGAAGTCTCTAAAGCAAGTTCTCATTGATCAGGTGTTTTATAGTGTTCAAGAGTACTTTGATAAAGATATGGATGGAATTCTGATATAAAATTATTCCCTGTTTAATCATTGTTTATGTTGATTTTCAATAGCTCCTGCAATTTTGAAAACAGTGTCTGATTATCTTATTTACTTATATATTTCATTTATTTACTTCCTTGTTTAGCTGTTAATGTCCGACTATTCGTTCATCTAGGGAGTATATAAATATGTATATGTGTGGTATTTATGTGATTCATCCTGTATAGTTGATATTTCAATGTGTATTTTTGAAAAAAAAAATTGCCCAATGTATAACAGTTGACGTTATTTTTTTAATTAACAGTGATTGTAGGCATTATTATTTTAAAGGTATCATCAGAGAAATATTTCAACTCTTGTTAGGTCGTTTCAAAATTTTGTCCGCTTTTTGAGTTTACTTTAAACTATAATATCTCAATGAATACTCAGTCAATTTGATCATAATAAGCGCCATTTGAATCAGTGCACTTTTACCAAGTCGATTGACTCCGTCAGCATAAAAATGGGTGCTTGGGATTTGATGAAATCGACGAAGGCCGTTTTTGCCTGGTCTACTTGCGGTGAGGAAGTTATCGAACTGCTAGAAAAGTTGTAGTCGGTTGGCGAGAGGTCTGGAGAGTATGGTGGGTCAGGCAGAACTTCGACGCTCAGTCCGTATAAATTTCGGATTATGATTTGTGAAACGTGCGGACGGGCGTTGTCGTGGAGCAGGATCGGACCTTTTCCATTGGCCGACAGCTGCTGAAGCAATTTTTGGTACATTTTGTCAATTTCTTCACAATAAGACTCGGTTGCGATGGTTTGGTTTGGTTCGGTTACAGAAACAATAATCATCAGGGATGGCAAGAACCCAGGTTTTTCAACAAAAACCCGACCCACTGGTTATAACCGGACACAAACGGTTTTAACCGGACATAACACCCATCTTAAAGGATATGCCAGATACATATACCCTACTGTGGTGGCATCTAATGTCGAGAAAATTAAATAGTACACATAACAATTCTGTTCCTTACAGAAAATTATATAAAACGTTTTCCATTCACATATCAGAATTTGCAGTAGAAGTAGCATAAATATAACCCCAAATAACTCATAAAAACGACTTTTTTATTGTTTTATATCGAAAACATTCATCAGTGTGCTCTGGGATAAAAAATAAAACGACTCCAAATGATAGTATTGGTAGTTGCAGTTCGGGTTCTGATTCACAGTTGCCTTCACCTTCACCATAAAAATCTTCAAGAAATGTAATGAACAAGGTAAGTTTGTTATGCCTGTATTGTATTGGGAAGAGGCATGTGCATACATTTTCATTTGTAAATATTTAATAATTCAATATGCTATTTCTCGTTTTATGTTTTGTACCGCCGGGAGCATATTCAATTAATTTACTTCGTCATGGTTATCAACCACCTATTAGAAAAACTTTGGCGAATCCACTATTAGATATAATATCTAATGAAGTCGATAACAAATAACGTCAGAATTATCACGCGATAAATCCACCGGAGTCAATAGACCTATCAAACTGCTTCAGGATGGTTGGTCTAGGGTGCGGAATGATCCAATTATTGCCACCACAATACACATTGCAAAAAAATCACTTCTACTGTCAGCTCAAGACTGTGAGACCGAACAGAAAACAGCAGAATTTCGTTTCAAAGTAGCAGAAGAAAATATGAAGAAATGCAAAGGAAAATTCAACAAAGATGTATTTGCTTTCTGTAGCGATAATGAAAATAAAATGCTGAAATTGGGATATTTGGATAATGCATACCCGGAATTAGTGGTTTAGGGGTGTTCAGCTCACTATTCAAATCTGGTAGAAAAAGAAGTTTCAGCAAAAACTGTACTTAAGCATATCGTTGCAGTACAGATATTTTTCAAATATCATCACATGCCACATGGTTGGTTAAAAGCTAAAGAGGGGGCCAAAATAACACAAATCTCAAACGAAACTATAGGTGGAACTCCCACGTTGACTGCGTTGAAACATTTGTCCATAATTTTTTGATATATCGTGATATTATGACGGAAAATGAAAACTATTTTGAAACTCATGATGCAGAATCAAAATCAATAAAACAGAAAGTATTAAATATGGGCATATATACGAACGCAATTGATTTACAAAAACAAGTCAAGTCTATAGGTTTTGCTCTTAATAAACTGCAAAGTGACTCAGTAACATTGTCTGAATCATTATTTATTTGAAAGTCTTAGAACCTCACCATGATATAATCGAAAAATGATTTGAACAAGCAAATACTCCATATCATTATTTGGCTTACACAATGGATCCTAAATATTTCGGGGAACAAATAACGCTTTTACAA